CCCCAAAACCCCAAAACCCCAAAACCCCAAAACCCCGACAAACTAAATGTGCAAATATTGCAGAAAATGAGTATAAGGTATATAATTATAGGTAAGAATTTAAGAATTAATAGAATGAAGTGCAATTAAACAACAACGACAACGATTAACTCAAACACTCATTAATTTAATAATCATTTAAGTGCATCCCATAATCCTAAAGCTACTCTAGTCAACCCTTTAGCTCAGATAAAGCGAAATCAAGAAAGTAGGTTATCATATCAGTCAAGTAACGGGACAGGAAGTGCGCTTTAGACAAGACCACAATCGTCACACTAAATGTTAAACAGCTTAAGTATTGGCCCATAGGTCAGAAATTTAAAATCTAAAAAGTAAAAGTTACAAGGCATATCCTCTCCTTCACAAAGGAAGAAAGAGAGGGAACACCGTCTTAAGCAGGTAGATGAAATTCTGAACTTTTAGCCTTCCTATTAAACAATTAATCATATCAGTCCTTAATAAATTTTTGTGGCAAAGAGAAACACCTTGGCTGATAAATAATCTCCATTTAAAGAAACCACGCATACACCAGGCAATAATGTGGTGAACTTAAATGAAAATGTTGATGATGATATGATGCCGCTTGAACAAGAGCCACATGCGTAAATTGAGCCACCTTTGTATTTTGAAACGAGAATAAACCACAAATAGTCTAAAAATAAAGAATCATCGAGAATATGGAACCCATAGGATTAATAAGATTTAATTGGAGCCAAGCTCCACAGTAGTAATGAATCTTCTATTTGGTTTGACTAGCTCAATTTGGGATCACAAACAGAGAGACTAAAAGAGAAGAAGAATAAACTTCTGTTCCAGCAATTTATGAATTCTAAAAACTTCAAGGAAACATTCATGAACAACGACGGTTCCCAAAAATAAAAATAAGTATCCTTAAACATCCACAAAAAAGGTTCCGCTTAAAAATAAAATACAATTAGTTAGAATTTATCATCCAGAATATAAAAATATTAACTATATTCTACAGCTGCTAGCAATAATTTATCCATGAATACTTATAAGACTTTAAAGATTAGCATGCAAGCTGCTCCAAATATGCATTATTGCGCAAAGAAAAATGGTGACTTAGAAGAGGATTTTACTCAAGCTGAAAAACGACAAAGTCTCAATCTGCATAACATTAGTTAGCAGCATCATGGCTTATTAGGATCAATAGAAATTAAGTCTCCTCAAAAGTTAAGTACCGGAGCATTCAACTCACCTTATCTTGATATATCGCCTGTAAAACTAACACTTGAACCAGAAAAATTAATTGAAGATGGAAGAATCTTTAAAACATTGCTATCTTTTCTTACATTGACTGAAACTATAAACTTCTATAATCTTAATAAAAATTTAATAAGATAGGACTACAGTAAAATAATAATAAAATAACAAAGAAAGTTAATTCTGAACTTAGGACTCACAAGAATTGAAAGAATAAGGCTTTGGTATAATAAAACTTAGCTTTTGGAGGCAAAATAACTACAAAAAGGCTAACTGCCAAACTTATATAGGAGACTATCAAAAAAATAGAGTGCATATCACTAAGAAATCATTACAGATGCTGAGAGGACATTCCCCCATATATTACTATTTAATAATTAAAGTAGAGCTTAAGACATGCTAGTTAGAATACTTAATGCTATTGCCAATCATATACCAGACCTTGGCTATGTTTAAGGAATGAACTTTATCGTGTCATCATTACTTTTAATTCTATGCAATGAGGAAGATACCTTTTATATGATGATTCAGCTTCTTTAAAAATATAAGCTAAAGGATATGTTTCTGAATAATTTTGATTAGCTAAGATTGTTATGCTTCTAGTTAGAGCAGTTTATTAAGGCCTATCTTCCAAAACTGAATGAGGTATTCGAGAATCAAAATATAGATTCTGAGTATTTTGCTACCAGATGGTTTTTGACTTTATTCACTGCTGACTTGAGCATCGAAATTGTCCAAACTGTAATAGATCTATTTATGGTTGAGGGCTATAAGTCTTTAATAAAACTAGCTCTTGCAATACTTAATCAAACCTTCAAAATATTTAAAGAGGGTCAGATACCGCATTTGTCATTCTAAACAGAAAGCGAGGGATATGTAGATCTATTAAAGCACTTTAGTGATGAAATTATGGTTGAAAGTCATCACCTGATAACAGATGCTTAAAATTTCAAAGTGACTAGTAAACTTATGTAAGATATGGAGAAGCTTTATATGAAAGAGTCAAGGCCCTCTAAAAAGAGGATAGAAAGAAATATTAGAATGGGCAGACCACCAAATGAATAAAAATACAGAGGATGCAGAAGTAGCAGTTTAAGGAACAGGATGCTAGTGATAAACTTAAATGATAAGAAAAAGTATGAGTGGAGGATATTACCTTTACTTCCATCAAAGATTAATGAAATGGAGGACCCTACTAAGCAGTAGAACTATGAAAACTTCGATTAGTTTTTAGATGCCTTTGATAGATCTAATTTTGACTCATAATCCTAATTGACCACTCCTGATGAAAAGAATGACTTATAAAGTATATTTTCAGAGTGTGAAGAAATCAAAGGCTCTGATGAAGGCGGGATAAACAACATGAGATCAAATAAAAAACCTTACGCTTCTAGAATGGTTATGAGTAATAAAAAGCAAAACAGAAATTGTATAAAAAATAATTAGCTATCCTAGCTAATTTAACCATTAATCTTTAACTACAATGATAGCAATGAGGGCATTAGATTAAAAGAAAAGTCAAATATGCTCAAGATTAACTAAAGAAAGATGAAAAGTATAAATGCTTAATAAAAGTTTACTTCATAAGATACGGTTACTCTTAGAACATAGACTCAAATGAGTAGTATAGAGAGTGAAAATGTTAACATTGAAAGCAGAATTGATTTAGGCATTCCAAGAAAAATAGCCCAGATTATTAATAATGAGGAAAACTTCTTAACTGCCAGTTCTTAAAAGCATGCTTTTACTGATATTAAAGGTGAGGATAGAAGATCTAAGTATCCTAACGGGGACAAGCCAATGGAAAAATTGCCACTTAGCAAAAAAATAATACAGCAATCACCCAAAAACTAGAATTTCAATAAATTCAAGCAAAGATTTACTGAGAAACATAAAATGAAGGTTCCAAGTAATATTACAAGCAATATCAATTAAAATTAAGAGTCCAGTAAGAAAAAATCTTCAACTCACGAGAAGCAATCATAGCCGCAAGAAAAGACTATTGTGAAGCAGAAGTAGACATTTACAAAGCCTTAGATTATCTTTTAAAACATGCATCTAACCTAGTTGCAGCATTCCTAACCTAGCTTCAATGAAAAAAATCAAACAGCAGCCTAGCTCAGACTTCATCTATAAAACATGGAGCCCAGGAAGTTGAATACTTAATCTAGCAATCAATAATTGGCTCCTGTCAACATTGTTTCTTCTAGTATGCAAGGCTTCACTCTTCAGTAGCATCTCTAGATAGCTAAGAAATAAAAAAAGAGTATCAATAAAAGTTAGAATAGAAGTCTGAGATCAAACTTTAGTCAAAGCATTGATTATGATAATTTCAATACTGTTCAATAAAATACTCTAGAATTCTATCCATCACATGAGGATTCACTTCATCAGCCGTCCAGCAATGTAAAGCTACCTAGTAGCAAGATTAATCTTTATGGATGGAATAACAGTTCAACTTAGCAACTAGACTCCCCTAAAGTAACAAAAATTAATCCCATAAAATTGAAACAAAAACTTGACGATGATGTCGGAAAAGCCACTGTCCTTCCTTTTCAGATTAGAAACCTTGACACTGGAGAAATAACTAATTAGGATCCATTCATGAGGGAATATGGAATTATGTGAGAGAGTGGATGATTGAATAATTATATATTACTGATTGAATATTTACAAGATTGATTGAGTACTAAAATTATTAACCATAGAAAAACTTATTCTTTTATAGTCTTAAATTTTTGCTTAATGGGGTTTTGGGGTTTTGGGGTTTTGGGG